AAGGTCCCATGAAAAGGAAAAGATTCTACTGAACCAACAAATAACAGTCATTCTGTTCGCAATAGTGAAAATCGTTCTACACAATGACTCTCCTCTCTCATGTCTACTTCCCACCAGCCCCAAAAGGTTGCAAAGGTATGTTCAGGTTCATCTAGGATTGTTTATCCTTTGCATTTTTTTCATTATTTGTAGTATAGCATAGTATTGAAATCATTTTTATATGAATATTTTTGGGTTGTGGAATGAATAGTTCTATGAATAGAAACAGGCCGTTCACATTGCCTGGGTGTGACATCATCCACTACCTGTAAGGAAGAAGGTACAGAGTCCTCTCTGGTTAAATTAATTATTAAAGTCCAGGAAAGTGGTTCCAAGTGCTGATGCCCTGAACTGACTGCAGTGGGGCCCAGCTCTAGAGCTCCTACCCACAGAGCAGGTCAGCATCTATTGATCCACTTCCTTAGACAAAACAGTGGGAAAACGTGCTCCGTGTAATATAATATCAAAATTGTATCTTATACGACATAAAAATGGCTTCCTAAAATTTATGTCAGTCAACGTATCCTTGAAACAATGAAAAATTACATTCAAAATGCAATATTAAAATTTAGATATGATTTATATAACATTAATACATGCTGTTTATTCCCATGATTTCACAGTGGATATGTTTTCTTTAGTCAAGTGATTCTGACAAGAATGTTAAAAAAACAAAACAAAACTAATGTTATGAGCAATAAAAAAGATAAATGGACTGCCACAACAAAGATTGAATTAGAAGTCAAAGAATTTGATATTTAGACTTAATTAGTTGTATAACCCTTCCTAAATTATTTAACATGTCTGACAGTCTGTTATTTGCCCATTAAAATTTATTACATTAACCTAATTGTATCTTGCTTGTCTAAAATTTGTGTTATTGATAAAAATTTTAATTATTAAAAATAGTAAAATAAAAATTGAATACTTTCTTCAGAAAATGTTTTTCAAAATCCCATCTCAGACAATAGCTTTGATATAACTGATCGCATATCACTTAAGACATTTTTATTGAAGTAAGATGTTTATCAGTAAAATCACACAAGACTGAAAATAGAAGTTGATGAGTTAGTCAAGAAAACTATTTAGATTTTCAAAATAATCAAGTGATTCCAGTCAAAATGATAACAATAATTTTATTTTAGAGTGACATCAGTTTCTGCTTGTAAATGCAGGAGAATAAGCTGTGAGGAAAGAAATGAGACGCAGTACTTACAGTACTACTTTCTAGAGCTTATCAGAACAATCAAAAATACATTCAAGATCAATTACATAGTTGAATGCATATAATAATAATTTTAAAATATAATGGAGACAAGTTCCACCCATCATAGAATGTACACACACACACACACACACACACACACACACACACACACAAGATCTTGTAAAATTTAAAAACAAGTAACAATGAAAATATGCATTCAGAACATGATAAATCACTCAGAAGGCCTCTAAAAAGATGACAAATATTGTGTTAGGTCTATAGATGGGAACACTCCATATTTTTAAAATTATAATGTTTTCGAAAGTATTCTACAGTCAGGGCTCAGTGATACAGTGCCTGCCGGGTAAGCACAAGGTCCTGAGTTTGATTGCAGGCACCAATAAATAAATAAATAAATAAATAAATCTACAAAATCTATGTGCAAAGCCAAAGCATGGACTTGCTAAAATGAGAGAAATGAACAGTGACAATTAGCCTGCTGGTTTTGAAAATCACAGAACAATGAGAGGGAATCTTTGCTACCAGTTTTTGCGACTAATTATAAAGCTGCATCACAAGCATATCTGAGAAAATGCCACCTCTGTTTTACTGAATGTTTATTTTATTTATGTCCACTGCACCACTATTTAAACTTTTGGTCTCATTTATGTAATGAGAGCGCAGCTGTCCTGGGGTTGAAATTTGTTCTCCAGTCGTTGTATTGTGTGCAGCAGCACAAAGCTGGAAAAGTCTGTAATGCATGCCCTTAGTATGAGCATGCTGCATTTATATGAACATAATTAAGAATTTTATCACTAGAATATTATCACTGTAATAAAGAGCCTGACCTCTTCGGGGATGTGAGGTTGCTTCTTTCTTTTTGAGCTCTACTCTCTTGTCTTCCTTTTGCCTCACATCTGGACAGGCTGATGAGAACGTGTGTCTTACACCTTCTTACTTGAGCCTGTTGGAAATGTTAGCCCGAGTCTGCAGTTCACACGGGCAGAGATCCCTCAGCCCCAGGCCTGGTCACTAACAGGCCAGCCCTCTCCTTTGCTTTGCCCAAGGCAGGCCTCGTCCCATGGTCCTCCCTGTAATCTCTGTGCGTCCCGAACTTTCTCTCCAATTGTTTGTCTAATTGTCTAGAGTATTATCAGCTTCAACCTCTGAGTGGAATGATCACCAACACCCAGATGGGGTGGTGTGATGGGGAGGAAAAACTGCATCCTTTGAGGTCAGTTTGTATAATGAGGTAAAAAACAATAAAATTGAGCATTCAGTATCATCTTCTCTGTAACATTCAAATATATGTCCCTTTTACATAGAATTGATATATTTCTTTTAAAAGTGAGATAACAGCTTACTGGGAAAAATATACAAATAGTCCATCAAACTAGAATTTCGTGCTTGTTAACATAATCCTTTTTTTCTCTCTCTCTCTCTCGCTCGTTCTTCTTTTTTTCCTTCTTTCCTTTTTCAGTACTGGTGTTAGACAGGTTACATATCATGGGACCTGAGGGACATTTGGGAGTGGGGCTCCCCAAATAGAATATATTGCCAGTTAATTAAAGAAAGATTCAATGTCTAATACATTCATCATCATTTGTTAGATCTCAGACCCGAAGCAATCCCACCATGCCATCTCAACACGATTTCTTAAGGTTATACATTTTTCTTTCTGCTCTCTGGTCACCTGGACATCTAACTCCAGAGCAAGGCCTACTGCATTCTTCACTGCCACAGCCTGCAGTCTGCTGATACAGGAAGGAAGATGTTCTTTTAAGATCTGGGCATGGGCCTGGTTTAAAACTTATCTTTTGTATGTGTCATACATGATCAAAGGCCCCGAGGAAACCCTGACCATCTTAAAAGGACCAGGAAGAGGTTGCTAAATAACTTTCAAGTGAAATGTTGGTTCCATCATAACTTCCCCAGTTCCTTAGACCTCAGCAGTGACTCTTCTGAAGATGCATCCAGGTACCCACTCTGAGCAGGTGCCTGTCTTCTCACTTGAAAGTGTAATTCTCTCTACCGACACTCTGTGTGGCCCATGTGACTTGACTGAATTCATTCATCCCGGGCACAAAGAGCCAAGGGACAAGAAAGTGACAGGTTAGTTCTTGTCTGCATCAGCATCTGGTTTCCCAGTAAGACTGGGGAGTGAGCTAGAGCTTTCTCACTGAGCCACATCCCTAGTCCTTTAACAAACAGTTTTGTAAATTGAGTCTCACTAAATTGCTAAATTGTCCAAGGAGTGCTCAATCTTGAGATCCTCCTTTCTTAGCTTCCAGAAGTATTGGGATTACAGACATGCACCACCATGCCCAGGTGGATTATAAATTTTCCAATAGCAAAATTTTGTGTATTGAATTGCTACATTAGAAACAGCTACATTTTATGTTGTCAGTCCTTTCCTACTGATACTATCACAAAATATGCAACCTCCTAAAACATTATTCTTTCTTTGTGAGAAAGCGCCAGAAGAATGAATATATTCACGTTCCTGGGTTCTAGCCAAACCGTGAATTAATAAATTGGCAGGATCAGAATCATGTTCAACAACTTCCCTAGCATTCATACCTGCCAGCCCTCTGCACAGATGAGGCTGGGAGATTTGGCAACACTTTGATTTCTGTTGGACTTGTTCATTTCTCAGTTGAAAAATGTTTCCCTGCCAATACATTCAATAAATTTAATTCTCAAGTACTTCAGTTAATATAAACCTAAATTCTTATCCAAGTGATTTTTTCAGAATGAGGAAATAGAAGACCTGGGAAACATTCAGGCCATTCTTCATTTTAAAGATATTTTTCCCTTTCCTTCCTGTTTTTCTACATCTATTTTACCTCTAACATTAGTTTTATATATATTTTTCTCACTCCTCTAAACATAGACATATTTCAATTGAGTAGCTACTTTTTGTTTCAGGAGAGAAAGGTAAACATATGCAGAGAAACAAGGGACATTTAAAATAAAGCACATGAACTCCCTGATGACGTCTCCTTTCTGGAGAGTACAGGAAGAATGTGTTTGTTTTATTAGTAGCTTCATTTTAGATCCAAGAACCCATGCAAGACAAACAGAAGGTGGCGGCAAGGGTGGCATCACAGAGAGGCTAATGACTGGCAGAGCATGTATACCATCGAGAAGAGCTGAGCAACATAAGCTGCCATCTGGGGGAGGGAACAGGCAGCTAAGTGCAAGCAGGTCCTCGCCAGGCTGGGCAGCACAGAGACAGTGACGAGGAAGGGTGCAGTCAGGTGCCCGGAACTGTATTCCACAGTGCTGCAGTCACTGTTTAGGAATCATGTATTCATTATAAGACAAAAAAATAAGGAAGGTCATGATGTCCAAAGTCTTACACACAGTTTGTCCATATGAAGAACTGCTAAGTACTGCAAAACTTTGTTTCAGTTGATGATGTGATTTTCAAAACATACAAACAAGTTTTTGTGCCTTGTGACAGGTACCAAAGTGGAGTATCTTTAACCTAAATGACACAGCCAGAGCAATTTAAAGCACCCATTTTTCACTTGCTTAACTTCTCTCGCAGATAAATAAAGGCGCCCTTTTTTATACATGTTGTCGCCCTCAGGCTTTTATTTTTTTAATATTTTATTTCCCCATTTTGTGCCTTGAGTTGGCAGCAGCATGAGAGAGAAAAACAACCTTTAAGGGATACTTCATCCAACATGCACTTATTGCAGCCTCTTCACATGAAAATTCGGAACAGTAAGTTGCTTGTCATAGTTACCTTCTTGATGGTCTCTAACATGGAACGCCCTCCCTGCCAGGGCTTGGAATTCTTTCTGATGCATGACAAACTCGCCATACTGTGCCACTTTCGGTCCTCCAGCTTCTTATGAAAAGCATTAGCGAGGAGAAGCACCGTGTCGTATATGTAAAGGTTTGAAATCTGAAAAGACATTAGACAGTGATCATTAGCATCGATGCCAGTCATCTAGAATCAGGAGAAAATCATCACCCAGCTGCTGCTTCTGTTCATGTCTCAAACGGCTGGTTTACGGGGTTATTTATTAAGCAGGTTTCTTTCTTTTTTTTTTTTTCTTTTTCATTTCCCAGGCAGTTCTGCCGTTGAGAATGAAGTCTTGTCTGATTGTATGCCTCAACTGGTTTTTCAGCTTATTTAGGTATGAAAGAAAAGATAAAAAAGAGAAGTCTCGACACAGGCCAGACTCTTAGCATCAGACCATAGAAAATCACTGGCCCTATTTCTTTCTCTAAGAGCTGAAGGCTGGAAAGGGAGACTGAATAATATATTAGCAGAATGTGTCAGATTTCTGCACTTTAGTTATTCAGGTGGAGAAATATCACCTTGGTCTTACATATGAATATCATAGGTACAGAAAAGGAAGCAGCCATCTGTGCGTAGATTTGTGTGTGTGTGTGTGTGTGTGTGTGTGTGTGTGTGTGAGATTCTGTAATGAAAAAATAAGAGAAAACAGAATCATTCATAAGTATTGTAATGATCACTATCTGTACAAAATGATACAGCTATGCACGTGCATTGCAATTCATTGACATGACAAGTACCACAAACTACTAACAGCTGGTGAATGTGTTTATAGTAATTCTTTTTTCTTCTAAGCTAAGCATGGCATTTTCTTGTTTCTACACAAATTTGAAAATGGATTGTTACTGGTTTTTCCTCAGGCCTTTGCAGTCTTACGATTAAGTCTTACTAGAACTATCCATGACATCAATTAATTACCAAAGGTGCTTCTTTTTCAGAGAAGTTAGAATTTACTGAGAAAATGAACATCAAAAGGGAACCTGGCCAGTTAAAAGTTGTTAAATGCATTACTTCTCAGAAGTAAAAACCTAGCATAAAAATAAAAACCACAAATCAAGGTAGTGATGACAAATAATTTGATCTGAAAACATTCAACTTTTCTCACAGATTTAACTATCCTGTTCTCACATTTTTTTCCTAAAAAGAAAAAAAAGAAAGTATGTGAAAGTACCATTTGGTTGTAATTAATGAAGAAAGAAAGTCTTGCTCACGTCACAGAACAGTACTAAAATCCAGCTACTGAGACAATGTGTCTGACGCTATGCACACTGTCAATAGAATTTTCTAGCAATGCCTTCTAAGGTTTGTTTTTTTTTTTCACATTTGGTAAATCTTTAAACATTCACATTTGTTAGGCATCATAATATGTGTATAATAATGGAAGGAAAGTTTCTTTAAAGAGTCACTGAACACTGCCATGCATTATGTGAAATGCAAATGTATTCTTCATAAGTAGATATTGAGAATGTTTATCTTCACCCCCATTCCACCCAGCTAACTCTGGGACAGATTAGAAGGAATAATTTCAGTCTACTACCACGCACGAATTGAGAGACTTAAAAATAGTCCATGAATCAATGTTCAGGTCAGACAAAGCTTGTGAAACCCAGTAGAAAAGAACAGATGAGACCTACCAAATGATTGCGCTGTACTCAATAACCTAGGAAAGATCTTTTGATAGACATTTCAAGTTCTCTTCGTTCCACAGCCTCAAATTTGCTTTCACTTATCTATCATTTTTCTTCTCCCTTTGATGGACTCCTTTAAGTGTGTGCATGAGACTGCCTGCTGGAATCCTTTGAAGTGTCGTTACTTTTCTCCAATCAGTTAACTTCCCTCAATATCTAGTTCAAGACGACCTGCTAGGATCGTCCTCCTCACCGTTCCTCACCCTCTCTCCCTACCCTGCAGAGCACTGACTGGTGCACTCTTTCTTTCCTCATGCACTGATGCACTCTATTAAAACACACAAGGCTAAGGTTTCTTTAGTATTTATGTTTCACAATAGCATCTGAATTCTTTTTGAATGGTGATGCATATCGTACATCATTTTCCCCTTGTACCTTTGTTTCCCTCTACTTATCTGCCTTTGATTTAGCTAATAGCCCAAAACATATTTAACTGTGGTAAACATTCATCAAGTAAAAGCAAACAAGGAACAGAAGAAGAAAAAAGAATGTAAAAGTTAGTTGACCGGAAACCAAAACATAAGAAATCTCAAATATTGGGTTACATTCATACCTAAGAGTTAAGTGGTATGGTTCCTTTTGCGAACTTTGGGGCAGGTACTAAGAGCATTTCCTCTGGGCTTCACAGTGAAGCTTTATTACTCATACATGGTATGTGTTTTCAACAGAAGGCTGACTCTTTCCATTTGTCCACCTTCTAAATACTAGGACCAAGAAGTGGTGGTGACAGTGACCCACTTCCTCCATCTGTTATTTTTCTTTCAAGCTAGTGCCCATTTTCCTTTCAAGTTCATCTTGTCTCTTCTATCTGCGATCATCTACTGATCTCTCTGCCCTCTGTATTCCTGCAGTCTTCGACCTCTCCCTCAAAATCATCCCAAAGTATATCTTAGCATTTAAAAACTGTGACTTTGCTTTCTACATCAATGATCTTCCCTTCTAGTCTGGCCAGGAGCTACACAAATGACTATTTGCTTTACACAAGCAGACAATATTTCTAGAATCTTAAATTCTAGCATCCCACATCTGACTCCGTGTTCCTCTCTGGCTTACTCTCCCTTCTCTTGTTTTCGAACATCACTGAACCTCCAATAGCCGATGCGATAATATTGGGTGCCATCTGTCGCTTGCCTGGAACCACCCTTTTCCTTCTGCTCCTCATCATCTGGTCCAGAGTCTTTGCTGCTCATCATCTTCATTCTTCCTCTGTACTTCTGTTTTCCAATATTTCTATGACAAATGTAGTAACCAGAACCGACACATGAATGCAGATTTGATCCGACCAGGAGATATTTTATCTCTTGATCTTAGCAAAGTGCTTCTGACATGGAGTTCAAGCTTATATTAAAATGGCTTAGAGCAAATCTAACTTCCACTGTGCCTGTTTGGAATTCTCCCTCAACTTAACGGCTTTGAGCAGCTGTCAGAGCAGGATACTTCCATCTGGACTTTGTGTAATTGATTTTGAACCTATACTTCATCTCTGTGAAATCTAAACTTTAAGGCATATCAGTCAGTCAATGTTAACAATTTTCATCTTGATTATACAATGTGACTTAAGCTTTTTCTCCTAGCTTTTAGTCATTTGCTAATTTGATAGGCAAGTTTTAACCATTTCATCCATGCAGTGATAAACTATTTTGAAAATATTGGGAGCAAAGACAAAATCTTGTAGAGGACCACAGAGTTCTCTACATTTCGAAAGTGAAATATTTATCACTGTACTTTGAATATTCATCTGGTGAAAAACTTTTCAAAATGAGGGTAAAAGCATCTGCTGTAGATTATACATATCAGGAATTACTCAAACATACAGAATATATCAAAGGCATATCTTCCCTATATGAATATTTCTTGAAGATTTGATCGATTCAGGTAGATGAATCAGTTTCACTTGAAGGCTTGAAGAAAAACAACTAAATAGCTTAAGTGCCAAATAATGTAAAACACATATTCTATTACTTTAAAGGGTAATGTTGAGGTTTTAAAATATTTTGAATTTTTTTTGAGACCAGAGACTTTACTATCTTCTACATTTATGAATCAATCTAGCTAAACTTTTCAATGTGTTCACTATGGATAAAGAAACATGTCAAACACCATGTAAAGCTCAACACATAACACACAGTTCTATGACAGCCTCCCCAAAGGAGATGCCTGGTGATAAGGACTCAATTTGGCTTACCATGTTCATAAAGGAAACCCTGATCTCTTACCTAAGTACTCCAAGTCATTTATTTATTTAATTTTTTTGGTACTAGGGATCGAACTCACAACCTTGCACTTGCTAGGGAAATGATTGTGCCCCTGAGCTAAACCCCCGGCCCTATTGTTTTAATAATATATAATTTAGCTAACTATTAGCATTTGATACAGCAAACTCTCAGAATCTTTTCTACTTTCTTTTGAAAACAGAGACAGCAAGCCAGTCTCCTGTACTTAGGCCTTCTTCCAAATGATTTCTCTCTTATTCTTAACCTACAAAAAAGAATCATGTCAGTTGGTTTATTAATCATTCTGAGCAGTTATATATTTGTTAGGTCTCATTTATAGCAGGCATATTCTTATAATCTCCAAAACCATGGTTCTTCTAAACCAGTGATTTACCTTTCTTTTAATGACTTCTACTCTAACAATCCCTATTTGAACACAATTTCTAAGGTAGATAAAATAGAAAAGATTGGAATCTTTCCATTGTCTCATTAGCAGCCAAGCTAATATTGGTTTTCCTAGGCAGTAAGTAGATAACTCTGATTTTGTTGCATATTGTGCAAAAATTCTGTTTTCTACATGAGAAGTTTTATGATTTATTTTACAATATCGGGTAATCCTGGATTTTAGTTTTTCTGGAGTTAATTTAAAGATACAGAAAACTTATTTTCTCTTCTAAATTTTAATTCTCTATATATGTTAAAATTGGTAGCCATCCAATGACCACTACAAGGCCTCTGGTACCTACTGATTATATTAATTAATGTGATTTTATAGTTGATTTTCAATTTTAATAGGTTATTTGGGTCATTTTTGCATATTTTTTTTCTGAAAGGTTTTAGATCACACATTTCTGGTTTTTGAATTAAAAGTCTGTGTTCATGTTTCCCTGCATTGTTTCTATAGATCGAGGATGCTACTTCTAGAGAATTTCAACTCCCAAATTATCAGTCGGTGGTGTTTTGCGGTCAGAATTTAATGCAAAATATCATTTTATTTTGTTGCTTTCTGTATCTTCAATGAGATAAAATTCACTATCAAGGCAAGACTACACATTAAATGCTCTGCTTTAAGTGGAATATTTTAAAATTCAAGTGCCCTGTATTCATATATGATTAACTAATTATATCCTCATATATCAAAATTTGTATAAATTTTGTTTTTAAGTTTGGTTTTAATATATTAGCAAACTTTAGGAAACATAGAGAAAAACTAATATGTAAAAAATCCTCAAAGAAAGAGAAATTTGCCTTATTTTGTCCCATTTCTGCATTTGAAAGAAGTAAGATAAGATGTGAACTAGGGAAGGGCTAAAGATTCCTGTACAGTGCGAGTGTATTAGGTAAGCTTGGCAATGCAGAGATAAATAAAATCTTTGTTTTCTGATTATGTGAAATGGAAAGATGCTGCTACTAGGGAAATGTGTTTTAAGATACTTTGTGTTTCCCCAAATGACAGAGGCAATGATTTTTAAATTGTACTTTCATTTCTTGCTACTCCTTTGATAAGAGCAGCCTTTTCTACTTCTCAATTTTCTAAATCAAAATTCTACTATACACATCTCCACTTCTATCATTTCTGCACCAACTATAGTGATGATGGGTAAAATGTCTAAAAATGATCCATTACAAGCGTAACAATAAGAAGGGGAGTGAAACCGACTTAACAACACAGAAGGGCTTACACTGACCATTGCCTAGTTCTTAACCACATCCAAATCCATGAATAGTCACAAAGGTGCGCAGCACGGAGGCAAGTGTGAGAGAAAATTATGAAGGAGTACATTGTAAAATTTGACGATTTCTGGTCCCAGATCTCCTCTAAATTAGTTTAAAACCCAGTAGGAAACAGAAATTTCTATGGGCAAAGACCCCGGAGCAACATTTATCACATTGTTAATAATTATGAGAGTGGTTGAATGAATGAATGAATGCTACTTCTTTTTTAACAGTCTTAGCAGTGACTAAGGATAGGGAGGCTATGGATTAGCATTCAAAAAAATAGTTCTGTCAGATTACCTGATTTATCTAGTACCACTGCCAATAAACTAGTCTCCCTTGGGTTATATTTCCAAATGATTCAAACTGAACATCTCTAAGTACTAAAATTTCTCAAGTGAACATTTTAAATTATTGAGTTTCTATATTTCACGTTCTCTGGACTTGTCAGAATGCTCTTGACTTTAATATTTGTCCCAGTAATTGTATATATTCATGTCCTACTCCAGAAATTCCCTTAGGACCCAGATTTGATTATACTGGAAATTCCCACACCGAGGAGATGCGTAAGTCTGTGGGCCTGGGTGATTCTTCCTGTTCCCTGTCTAAAATTTGCCTGGCTAGAGAGAGTGTTCGATGGCTTCCTGCAGTTGCTGGAATGCCTGCTTTTTCTAACACTTCTTTCAGGTAGACAGATCCAGATCTCCAGTGCAAAGAGAAAAATTCTGAGTGTTTTCCTTAACAACAACAAAAAAAATAAACCCTGAGCGAGTCTGTAAAGGCTTCTTCTGAGCACACTGCAAGGAACTGACAATCTGTATTTTACCATTTAGAAATTTTATTTACTTTAAAATTTTTTCTGTGTTCTTGATAATGAAGTTTTCAGCTCTGTCAAATCTGGTTTGGATATATCTATAATGCTACAGAATTTTTTGACTTTTAAATAATTTGTTAACTAAATTTCTTCGAACTAGAGTTTTCTTTAAAAAGAGAATAAACATCTATGTCTTCATGCCAGAAAAATCTACTGAATTTTTAGCATAGTTATTGGAATTTGACAATCGGAGTATCAATCACAAATGCTACAAGGGAAATGTGGTGGACTTTCTTGCTTAAGAAGAAAATCCCCTTCTTTTAATGTATTGTTATTAAACAACTAAATGTCTTTATACAATGAGACCAAAAACACAGATTCTTAGCACTCTCTTCTGTTACACTTACTTTTTCTAGAGAATTACTCAGAAATGATAATGCGTATAACTGTGAATTTCATGCTGTTTGAAAGCTCTCTTAACAGGTACTCAGCAAAGCACCCAGGCAGAAATACCCAGCTTAGAGAACATACCTCCATGTTCTGAGCAAATGGATCCTTCGGATCACATAATGTCGAAGATATTCGATGGTTGCCACGGAAACATCGCTGACTGGTGTTCTGGGGGACTGGAAATGTCTGCCGAATTATTGTCAACCTTCCAATTGACCTTCTTACAAGTTCCTGTACATCCACATCGTTTATTTCCTGTAAGATAAGAAGTGGGGTTCTTAGAAATTCTTTAATACAGTAACAAACCCAAAACCACTCATGAGTTGTTATCTGGAAGCACTGAAGGGTTCACAAATGAAAACAGCACAAGCTCCTTAAAACAAGCAACCCATCTGAAGCTGCTTTCTGTGCTTTACATCACATGCACAAATGCCTGGATAATTCCTAATGGCACAACTGACTTTACATAATCCACTAATAACATATTTGTAAGTTATTATTTTAAAAAATATGGAAAAATATAGGTCTGATCAAAATATTGAAGGAAGTAAAAAAGAAGTTGCTGTTATAGTTTATTCTTCATTAATGGCTTTTGATTAAATTCGAGCACAGTACTAAAGAAGATGCAGCCTGGGATCCTAAACGTTCTTCTTAGTAATTAAAAATGAGACCTTTAAATGAGACGAGCAGGGAGAGAAAGCAAGAGAAGTTTTTGGTATTGTTTTGTTTTATTTTGTTTTTTGTACCATAAATCGAACTCACAACCTTGCCCTTGCCAGACAGGCACTGGGCCAGTAATAGTTTTTGGAAAAAAGTCCAAGAATAGTTTTTGGAAAAAAGATTTCCTAATTATTCCTTAGAATTATTGATGTGCTCAAGTATTTCTCTGGCTGAAGAATAGTTTCAAAATGGTAGCTGTCAAATGACTGAGTTTTATAACTGGTCTGATATAAAGGTGAAAAGGTATGTTAGTTAATGCAGATTAAATCAGGCTGAGTGAGGAAAGAAAACTAATACTCTACATAAATAAATTTTATTTAGCATTTGAGTATTTGCCAAACTCAAATTACAGTTTCTACTTCTTTCTGCCCCATCTCCCCAATTCCAATTAAATTTTAAGATTTGGCTCAACACAGACTTGGAAGTAATAAAAAATGAAATATTTTTATAACATATATTTGGTCTAATTGCAATTAGAATAAAAGTGATTAAAGTAAATTTTAGCTTTAAAATCATCTTTTCACTGAGGCAGTTTGTGCTTGATAGTGTCCATGTGGAAGCTTTAGGTTCATGGGGCCTTTGCAACCAACGAATTATTGCTATTAATAGAATCCTACAACAATAAAAAATAAAAGACTTGATACAAGATAAATTTTGGACTGTGATGAACATATTCTGCTTTAATCCAAGAAATTACTGCTGAATCCTGAAAGAGAAAAGATAACTTACAGACGAAAATTTTTCTTTTCTTTCCTAGACTAATTATCTTTGTGGTAAATATTAGTTGCAAACTTCACCCTTTATTTAGGAACTTTATGAAATATAGATTTTTCTGAAAATAAAATAACACCTGCCATCCACTCTATCTAGTGTAATATCAGGAATTTCTGGGTGATTAATCCTTAATGCGCCATAAAAATGGTTTTTCTCAGTTTAAAAATGCTGTCATTTTCCTTTAATCGGTGTCAACTCACTGGCCACTAAAATCTCTGGCAAAGGGCAGGTCACTCTTTAATTTTCTGTGATCTGCTCACAAAGCAAAATTAAAGTGTCCCGTCAACTACATTTTAATTCCTAATGTTAACCTGTAATCTTTTAAAGGCAACTAATGTTAATATTGCTCTTCAATGTCATTTAATTTTTTTTATTCCATATTGCACAGTTAGGGAGAGTCACTCATAAGGTAGTAAAAAACTGAAACATTTTTCTTTTTTATAGTCAGTTCAGTTACATATGTGGTTCTAATATATTTAGAAATATAGATTTAGCAAAAATTTTATACAATACTATCTGTCTATATACTATATATGAATAACTATGAATCAGTACATTAAAGTAAAGTTTTATAATAATAAATACCGATTATACTTTAGGAAAAATACTATCTATTATCTAATTTTCTGTGAAACTGACACTAAGTTGGGCAAATATTGTTACTTTATGGCTAAAAATCAGGCAGAGTCCAAGGTCTTTATTCAAAATAGTTTTTATTCATAGGATGAAGTTTTAAACATAGTAAAAGAGCAATTCTCTGAAGTAATTATACGAGAAGTCTGTATTTCTTTACAGGAATTACCTAGATTAATATTTATGAATGATGAGAATTAAAACTATAGAAATATATTATTTCTGCCTTTGATAGCTTGATGATTCCATAAGGACTGATGAAGTCATCTATCATTAGTCAAAGTCTAGCAGGTCTATTTTCAAACACACAGAAAGGGATGGTTACTTTTTCTGTTTTCCATAAGCTGAATTTCTCAGATACCTAAGCCTAAATAAACCTGAAGAACTGTCAATTAGAATATATTTTGCCTATTATTATTTGGGGAAGGAAAAAGAGAGCAATCTAGGAGGAAAGAATCTGTCATTCTGAATCAGACAGTCTCAAAAAAATCATGTACCTTTTTAAGTTTGACACCCTATCTTAGAAAGTTCCCTAGTCATACGAAATCACGGTTAGGGAGCTATTTTACATTTGAGAAGCTTTCACACTTGCAAAGGTACGCTTTAAGAGTGACAGATATAAAGTTGTATAAACACTGAAAGACAAATGATTATTTAATCTAAAAAGACAGCCTTCTAAATGAAAAACAATTCTAAGTAAATGTCTATTAAAATTAAAACACCTGGAATTTTTTGTTTGTTTGTTTGTTTGTTTTGGTACTGAGGATTGAACTCATGACCTCTCACTTACCAGGCACACACTTGAGCTGCTCAGCTAAATCCCTGGCTCAAAACTATTGTTACATTTAGGATTGGTGTTGTTCCAGTGCTCCTAATTTTAAAAATAATATTTAATATGTGAGATTTTTAAAAATAATTATGTGAAGAGCTAATTTACTAAACAAGTACTCAAACCCTGGGTCCCTCACAACACCAAATATACTAATAAATCTCTAGAAAAATAGGCAGAAAACTTCTGAAATTTAAACAATTGAAATAATCAGAATTTTAAAATTATTTGTCTTTGTATTCTTTGATTCTGCATACTCTGGATGCAGAATTAATACCACAATTAAAAGTGAATTAATTTCAGTATAGCAAGCTTTTTATTTTTACCTTGTTTAAAGAAGAATATAATGGACCCTTTTCTCTGAAATATTTATTTGGATAATCAAAAATTATTGAGTCAAATCGGTATGGTTAAGAATTGAGACATTACTGAAGATTTGTAGTGTACCAACTTCAGATTGAAATGAACAGATTTAGGGGGAAGAAATGACTTTTTAAATCCCATAGATCAGATGCCAATCTAGATTATATAGATTATTACAGAAAAAGTCTTTTCCTATTTTCTCTTTTGCATTCATTCTTCCTTTTGCTCATCTTTTAATCTGAGCACTACAAAGATCCTGTCTCAGAGTAAATTTTCAACAATTGTTGGTAAGTTTAGAAGTGAATGAATAGCAAGACTTTAGCAAACTATCTTCTACAGATTGATATCTGAAACTTTAAATTTAGGCACTGAAATGTTTTAAATATGTTAAATAATTTTGAATAAAGTACATTTTACTGGAGAGATTTTAGAGTCTAATATGTGGGTATCATTTGGAAAAGGGTTTCTTTCCTATTCTTCACGTTTAGCAAAGATGATTTTTTTAGTTCTTCTGGAAAGATTATCATTGCTGTGGAGAAATTAGCAAACACTGTGTTTAAATCTGTTATAAACCAGACTCTAGGTTAATACCAACAGGAAGAGGGGTAGACTGTTGATTTCCTGCTTGACAAGCTTAGTACTTGGTAGTTCAGCTCGTCACTAAGCTACAAAACATGAGGAACATCTACTCTACTAGCAGGCTTTTAAGATCTCTACATAAGGAGGCTAGCAGTTTAGCTCAATAGCACAAATGTCTGCCTTGCAAGCATGAGGTCATGAGTCTGATCCCTGGTAACTCCCCCACAAATGATCTGTACACTATAGTAAAAAGCCTCTAAACCAACAACTTCTTCCTTTGCTGTAATACTCATCAGTGGCTAATGGAGAACAATGGCTTAAACTAAATTTTTCAAAGTAAGTAAAATCCTATCAGGATGTTAAAAGGCAGGTTCGTATTATCAGGAATAAAAAGATGCATAAAGTCTTATGCTTCTTGCAGTTCTAAACAGTGTCTAGCTCCTTATATGAATGTCTAACTTCTGTAAAACTTGAATAAAACGCTAGGCCATTTGCTTTAGAACCCTGAAGGGATATGACAACACTCACATGAAGAGGCTGTTGTGAGCTGGATCCACTGATTGCAGGGGGAAGATAAGTACCATTACTAAGTCCTAACGTATGATTGATTGCACCACGTGAGCTCATGCAGCCTCTCATAATTATAGCACCCTGAATGCGAATGAAAAAATACATTGTTTTCAAGTTTCTACATCAATTTGTATCATGATACACAATGCCAACTTTGATTTATAGTCCCTCTCTAAGAAACTACTGGTGCAATAAGATTAAATAAATGTTTGCAACCCATTTTAAAATTAGCAACAAAATAATAGCCACACAAACCAAACTAGACAGAGTCATGCTCTCATGTTCAGTCAAAATCAGTATCTGCATGTTATTGGATTACGTCATTATTGTGCTTCTAGAGTTTACTATCATCCTCACAAACTGGAGACATTCATTTTGTAATCTATGGAAACTATGATTTTTAAAATCAATTTGTAGAAATAAGCATACCAAGGAAAAAATGCGTAGGAAGCAGTTGGGACTCAAGCTTCTGGAGATGAATTTCAGAGAGAATAAGGTAATTGATTGGAAGGAACCCTTTGGACTGAACGCTGACCTTGGACTCACTGGCTGATAGCAGTTTTCCTGCAAACCTACTTGTTCTTTGAGATTTACCCAGGCCGGAAGGTACAAGTGATAGCCAATGGAAGGATGTTGTAGGTTATGAATATTGTGTCACAGTATTGACCTGCCTAAAAGAAGTAGCACTTTTGCTGAAGGACTAAAAAGTAGATCTCTTAAGGAAAACAGATTAAGATTTCTGGAATAATAAAAATGGATCCAGGGGAAGTTACAGTTTATAAAAACAAGTTTAAAAGCTAAAAGAAGAAGTGAAATCTATTCTTTTAACATTTACCATTTAGATTGCCTTTTTGTTTCGCAAAAAGTAACCAAAATTATGGAATGCTCATGTAAATATAATATTTTCCTCCCTAATGTTTTATGTAATATTTAATAAATTTAAGATTGATAAATGATGCTTCAGAAAGATGCCATGAAATAAAAATTTTTATTACCCTTTCCATGCTATTCTTCACCAGTGAAGTACATGTTAGTCTACTCAGAGTATTCCTATACACCTGAGGGGGTGATTACTTCTAAAGTACAAACTGACCCTTAATTAGTGAATAAATGACCATATTACTTGCGTTCAGACATTTAAGATTCAGATAACAATAGTAAAAGCCAAATTAGACATGGACAACAGTAACATGGGTACATTTTGCAACCTTATCAAAGGATACTAGGGAATGGCTTTTCATTTAATTTGTTTATTGTTTTCCTTTGAGACAGGGTCTGTTATAGTTCAGGCTGGCTTTGGACTCTCTGAGAAACTCCTGTTTCAGTTTTCCAACTGCTGGAATTATAGGTGTGCACCACCATGCCCAACAACAACTGTAAACTTTAATTTGTTTTAATTAAGAACAAGCCATGTTTCTTTTTCAGTCAGCTCTGTTCAAGGGAATGAGTAAAATGACTTCAGTTTACTTAGCGTCAAGAAATCTGTGTGGTTTCTTCCCTATTAGAAGTTAGGCACGAGATAAAAATAGGGATTTAAAAAGATTCTGTATTATTAAAAAAGTAATCTAGAAAGTACACAAAAAACAATGTCTAGTGGGATAAAAGAGTTTCCATAAGATTCCAATTGAGGTAGTGAAAATTTCAAAGATAAAATCTGTAAGGATTACAAAAAAACAAAAAAAGAAACAAAAATAACTGAATTGTTACACTGCAAAAGACTTATACAAATCCCATTATGATCTCTTAAAATTTGTACAATGCTTGAATTGTTTAATTTCTCTGAAACTTCATTTCCTTGCCAAAAAAAGGAATAAAAAACATCTCCTCTGAAAAGTTACCATGGAGCTTCGGTGAGCACCCTTGCCTCCTGTGCCACCTCTTGCTAATTATTCTCATAGGCTGCTTGGGAATTGACTCAATTCTGCAGGGCACTTGGACCATGGCTGGGTCTCTAACATAGAAAATTCAAAGGTATGGAAAAATTGGAAGGTATCAGAATTTCATTGAAAAAGAGATCTTAGGTGTGCATGAAAGAATACCTGAGGGACTCAGAAAAAACTCTTTGATGTGACGGGAGAAATACAGAGGCAGTTCACACAGACCTAACTTTTGGCAGCTCCAAAGTAAATCTACATGGCCTCTCCGGCACCCTGAGCTAAAAAGAACCATTCTGTCTCCTAAGTATTGTTTAGGAAGAACAACTTGAAACTGGGAATTATATTTACTGTCTGCTTAAGAGAAGCAAATCTCTTAACCCTGTGGACCTTGTCCCCTCTGTGCTTCACGGGAATGGCTTTTATCATTCAACATTATTGTGCCAGACAGAAATCCGCACACCTTACAAAAAGTTACCTTTAACGCAGTGCCATATATTAAGTGTAATTTGTAAGGAACTGTCTTAAGAGAATAGATCATCTCACTTAATTTTTATTATGGAACTGTAAACTTTATTACATTGTAATATAAATATACAATATTGTAATATAAATAGACAAACTAAGACTCAGAATGATTATATGGCCACAGCAACAGTTAATAAGTTTTATAGACAGGATTGACTGTATTTTGCTAGTTATAAAACCAAAATTCTTACCCCCAATACTATTTTGTCACTAAAGTAAATCCTACTATTATATGATACTATCCAGAGCTAAATAATAAATAATCTTTGCATATAAATGATCACTATGATTGACTACTGTGTTTTGTTGAGGTCAGTTTGTGTGATCACACATTTGTCCAGCACTGATCTAGTTACTGTCCTTTTGGACTGTGACTAGAAGGTGCTAATGGAACAACCTATTTCTCAGGATTCTCAGGCAGTAATGTAGTTTTCATCTTATGTAGTATATTTTCAAAAATAAAAAAATTCATAACAACTTTGACAAACTATTGGATTTTAAAACAGTTTACTTCTTCATGAAAAGGCAAAAAAAATCTGTTTTGTATTGATTCATATTCATATGCTGAACTGTTTAATCCTCATGGAAGTGGAATAGATATAAAAGTTCTAGAAACAACATTAAAATATAAATGGAGCACAAGCACTCCACTGGGAGGAATTCTCTTTGCTTACAAAGAAGAGCTCTACTTTTCATAAAGATGATCTCTTTAAGCAGATAGTGTGTGCCAACAGGAAAAGCTGAGAGATATTCAGAGGGGAAGACTATCTCCATTTATTTTATTCATATAAAGCCCTTTATCATCTTCAAAAACTCTTCACTGTATTTTTACTTAATAGTATTCAATAATCTGAAAGTTTACTTTGTGTTTTGTTCTATCATAGAAACCCCAGGCTGGAGGACCCTGTAGCTATGTATATGAAAACAGGATACACAGGAAACCATATGGTCGGTGGCTTTACCTCATTTATAATGATCCAGTGACAGTCAAAAGCAACCAGATTGGTCTCCACAACCTAGAACAGAAAACAAACCAGATCTCAGCATTAATCAGGGAGAATAATCCAAACTAAATGGGTCTGTTTTGTAAATGACAAAAAATGATTTTCACATTGAAAGGTCTTTGTGCAAACTTTGCTTTTATGTTTGACTTGTAGATGCACACTGTAGATCTGCTAAATATGAAAGTACAGTATAACAACAAGCCTAGAAAAATAAAGTTTCAACAGAACTATAATAGCAATACTATTTTGTGATTTCACAGAGATAAAGACAAGTTCCAGTCTCAAATCATATCCCATATTCCAAATAAACTTTGATGACCTTTTGTATATATCAAAGTATGTATCTCTCTCTCTACAATCTGATGTAGTTTTTTATATTCTGATATTTTCTTGTGTATATGTTTGCTAAAGTCTTGAAAACATACACTGTACTAGGTTCTCTTAAAAATCATAATGGCATATGTATTAAATAGATTCATTTCTAAAATTATCTGATTGTAAAATACAAAAGTGACATATTAGCATTAAGCTATGATTAAGAAACTTTGGCAGCTTTTAGATTGCTAACCAGATGAAAAGAAATTAAACATATAAAAGGAAAAGAAAATAATATGTGCGTAGCAATCTTTGACTAACTGAACATTTATTCTAAATTACTTTTGGCTTTGGCCAAAAAGTATGATGGGGGTGTGTGTGTGTGTGTGTGTGTGTGTGTGTGTGTATTGTAGGAGGAGATTTTGAGTTCAGATTTCCTTAATTTTTATCATATATTCTCTAGGACAAACTCTTGTAATTTGGGTCATAAGTACAGAATAGTGAGCCTGCATTGTAAGAAACTTTATGTTATTTTTAGCAATAATACTTGATTTGGTTTCAAATTGAAATACTTTCTAATAACTAGCAAGAAGTTATTACGAAGTGCAAATTACATTTTTGTGGTTATTCTTTGTCCTACAGAGAAATGTTTACTAAAAGATGCATTAAATCATAATAAACACAATTGGATATATATTTGTTATGTGGTTTGATGTTTTCTCAAAGTATATAATTATTTAAAGGTCCTTGTGACCTAAGGTACATGTTCATAATGTATTAACAGAGAACTGAGAATGTTATGTATTTAGAAGTTCTATAATTATTATTATTTTTAAATTACATGTATTTTCAATTGATGGTTGAAACCTATAATAGAAAATACGACCCATGGGCAATTTTTAGTTTTAGCTTTAAAAACAATTTCTTACTTATATAAGTAATGTGAACACTTATTTCTAATTTTCTGGTTTTGTTTTTTTACACTGATAGTTGCACAGATCTATCATCAATTATTTATTAACAATTAAAAGCATAAAAAAATAAGTAAGAATTCTATTATAATTCAAAAGCATATAAACCAGAGACACAAATATGAGGAAAGCAGATCTCAGGGTAAATTGCAGATAAAAAAATATATATGGAGAGGTCTACAACTATAATATGAAAACGGGAAGAATTCAGAAGGAAGCCATGCCATAGAGGTTGAAAATATTTCTGAAACACTCTTAGTGGTAGAAAGAAGAAATGACTCAGTTTATCCTAAATTATGCTTATTTACGTAATCTGTACTATGTGGGTAGGTTAAGCAAAATTCAAGCATTAGAACTCTACATCGCCTATAGATATTGCTAAGAAGTTGGTAAAATATCCTTTATGACTTACTATAGGAAAACTTTTTTGTCTGGACACTAAAGCTGATTTTTCACACTTTAACAAGAAATATTCTTCCATGTGAAAACATAAAACAGTACTGAGGCACAAATTTTGTGTTTCAGTAAAGAATAAAGCAAGCCAGGTGTGGTGTCACATGCCTGCAATCCCAAAACTCTGGAGGCTGAGGCAGGCAGATGGCTGTGAGTTTGCAGCCAGTCTGGGCTACACAGCGAGTTCAAGGCCAGCCTGAACAACACAGTGAGACCCAGTTTCAAAAAACAAGAAAAGGAAAAAGGAGAAGAAGAGGTCTCCTTTAAGATCATGATTCTATTCACTGTACCACGTCCCTCCTTCCCTCAGAATCATCAGAAAATGATGATCTTCCTGTTTTTGGTCTCACTCAGAAGTATTAAAAACAGTATGAGTTACGTTAGCAGTATAAATTATTAGCAGATTATTGCACATAAGCAAAGAAGCAGTTTATCGTCATCGTTCTGAATTGGGAGCTTGTCACCACAGGTGGCCCTGGGTGTGAGGAAGCTGGAGGTCATCCGCGTGTCTCCATGTGTGTTTGGAAGGGAGGGCCTATTACAGCCTCCATGGGGCTTGGAAGCTCTCAGTGGCCTGCTGCATCTCAGTGAGATCGACTGTTCTAAAGACATTAGTCCCAGCACTCCCTTCACATTCAGGGTGGGTAAATAAAATAAAAAATACTCTGCCCTAAGAACAGAGAATGGATACAAATTCTGTTGGAAAAATTAGGCGATCTGAATAGGATAATGGCTCCAATTCACTTAAACTTTTAAGCAAATTGAGCATTCACACGGTAGAAAATGGTAGATGATCACCAAAGTTCATTCTTGCCTTCTCCAAGGAGACCAGCTAGGCGGCTTTGCCCATGAAGGCCACGAGACTGGCCTCCAGGGGCGCATACACAGGCACAGATGACAGAGCTCAGCTCCAGCAAAGCAGTGCTTTCCAACTGCTCTCTGCACCTTCCAAAAACCTGAGATCACAGAGTCACATCCCCAAGTGCCTGGGATTTCAAAATAGACCCGGTGCAGAGCAGTACCTTCTCCCAGACCCCTGCTTTGGCACTGGGCTGATCTGAAATAAAGGTCTGTGATACTGAGACATTACATTACACAAGTGATTGTTAAAGCAGTGTACCTCAGCTTACCTAACCCGAAGCATTTTTATTAATCTTGGATTTTTATGTTTCCCTAATCTTAATAAGTTGTAATAAACGTATAGGGTCATTTTTAATTCTGTGATTTTAAACACAATTTCAAAATCATCCAGTATTTGCTGGCTTTACAGTGGACTTTGAACATTGGAGACTTTTCTTTATAAGCACATTTTTCACTAGGGAAGGAAAACATGAAAATATAGACATGTCCTCTCCCTTTGATTATACAACATGAGATATCCCACCTAATACTGTGACAACATGTTTTAAAGAAGCTTGAAACTTTCACTCTAATGTTGCACACAGAAAGTTAGTGTTTCAATTTGCTGTCTAATGGAATGTTCAGTAAAATACCTACAGTTTCCTTAGGTCTTAGATTTTCATGCCTGAACAACAATAAACTAGTATGTGTCCACTGATTTTTCTAATTGAATGCTGGTGAAAGTGAATAATGTTAAAAAGCCACAGATTAAAAATGTAACCGATATCAGGGCTACAAAGTGCATTTGGAAAGGGACATAAAAGGTGACAGGGAGTTCTGTAACCTGGACTTTTGAAGTCTCCTTGGCTTTTAGTTCTTTCACTTAAGTGACTAATGTACGTATCATTGTAGGAGATATACATAGATATCTGCAGAGACGTTAAAACTTACAGTACAATTTTTAAAAAGAGAAAAAAAGTGATGTTTATCCTCACATTTCATCTTGGTGTAACCACAGAAAATATTCTTAGGAAAGACTATTTGTATAAAATGAAATTCTGAAATCTTAGTATAAATAAGAGAAGACAGATAACTACTACAAATCTCAAGCCAATTCACTAATATTTTTGGTAATATTTATTCCTTTTCACTGGATAACACATTTAGGATTATGTAATACCCTATGAAACAAGTGGCAGTACTGTCTTAAAGAGCATAATTTTAGATTTTAGAAATTATAACATCCTAGACTTTTGAAAGACTTTATATTTACTTCCACAGTAATGTTAGAACTCAAACAGAGAAAATTGTTTCCTTTTCCAACCTTTCTTATCTTATCTCCTAATATACTAGTAAACACTTTAATTCAATAAACAGAATTATTAAACTGGATTGAAATTTTCCTCTTTGTTTTCCATTGGAATTCATTTCAATCCAAGCATATCATTGTTTTAATTGTTTAGTCTCATTATATTGATTCTAATAAATGTTTACCAAGTTAGCAAATACTACTCAGCTTTCTTTCTTTCTTTCTTTCTTTCTTTCTTTCTTTCTTTCTTTCTTTCTTTCGTGTGTGCAGGAGATTGAATACAGGATCTTGTGCATGCTAGGAAAGTGCTTTATGACTAATAGCATCCCATTTCAGGTTACCCACTTTTTAAGATGTCATTTGGAAATGGGCATCTGAGAAGAATATACACTTCCCAGGTGAAGAAATACAAATGGCAAATAACTATATGAAAACAGGTCCAGCATCAGTGGTCATTCTACAGATGCAAACTAAAACAACTACTGAGATTGCATTTCACCCTAGAAAGACTGGTTATTGTCAGGAAACCAACCTATAATAAGGGCTGGAGGGGCCGAGGGAGAAAAAGGAACCCTTCTCCATTGTTGGTGGGAGTACAGACTGGTACAACCACTGTGCCAATCAGTGTGGAGTCCCTCAAAAACTAGGATTGGAGGTCCCATTTGGTCCACCTATTCTCTTTCTGTGTATCTTCCCAAAATAATTTAAAACATCATACCACAGTGCTATATGCATACCCATGTTCATAGCACCACAGTTTGTAACAAGCCAAATGCCCATCAACCAAGGAATAGATAAAAAAAGATGTGGTCTTTTCATATAATGGAGTACTACTCTGCAATAAAGAAGGGTAAACTGGAGACTTTTGTAGATAAATGGATGCAACTTGAAATCATACTTATAAGTGAAATAAGCCGGACACATATGAATAAACACTGCATTATCTCTCTAGTGAGAGAAGCTAAAAGAGTAAATACGATGCAAGGTGTACAACAGATATTCTAAAATGGGAAGAAACTTCAAAAAGAAAGAATCTGAGGTAGGGAATGGAGAAAAGAAGGAAGGAAAAAGGGAAAATATATACATATATATAATATATATGCTAGTTAAAATAGTTATGCTAC